AAGAGAGTGAGGATCCAAAATCTGACCTTGTGCATGACAATATGTCTATATTAGCTAGAAACTAGGATAAATGATAGTAAAATCTGTTGTCCCTTTCTATCAAAAGATATTTAAATCCAGTTCAGGACCTACTGCAATCCATGCTGCCATAGGCTGGATGAGGCTGGAGCATCAGCCAGGTCTTCATTAGGGTGGGTGACAAAAACCCATTATAGTTTAACAGATTCCCTAAGAATGAATGTGAAAATTCTTCCATGCCTTTAACAGAAAGAGAAGCTTAGACAGGGCTTTCTTAGAGTTGTTAGGAACTGTTCAAATTCAGTCCTTTCTACTGTGGGCACCATATCATAAGGTCACGGGCACTGGAGGTTGAGAAAAGGCTCTCAGCACAGAGGTGTGTCTGCTCAGGGGCAGTGAAGAAACAACAGTGGAGTCTCAGCAGGGTGCGCACAGCCATGAGTACTCAGGCACCACCAGAGGTAGGCTTCCTCCACGGACTACTTGGTGGTGAGACTGGATTTTCTTCTCCCAGAGAATATGAAGTAAAACCTTATGTTATGTGGGCCAGAGGGGGATGGGATGGCTGAGGATGGAGTGGGCTATGTCTCAGATATCACCTCTGATAGCCCCTACGATGGAAAATGAAGGGGTGAGTCCTCTGATGGATTATCCTGGAAGCAGCATCTTGTGCTGCAGCACAGAACTGATCAGCATTGTTAAAACATAACCCAGTCCTGACACAGCTCCTAGTCAAGAAGTACTCAGGCTCTGGAACAGGTAGGAGAACAGCAGGTCTGTATGGCTCTGCTGCAGGCTCAAGCACCTCCACAGGGCCCAGAGCATAATGCAGCCATCTCAGCAAGAGCCCTCGTGGCAGCGCTGCTGCCCAGGAGAGGGAGGTTCGTGCCTGCAGAGTTCATGCTGCTTGGATTGGCAGTTGTTTGTGTTAGTCCAACTGAAAGCAGGTTATTGCCAACAGATGAGCTGTATTGAACAGATGTAAACACAGTAGGGGAAGATATGGAGGCTTTTTTACAAGGTTCTGGGAGACAAGGAATACAAGAGTTATGAGTGATGTGATGAATTCACGGATCTCACCAAGAATGCACAAAGAGATCAGAGGTGACAGGAATTTCTGCCTGTTAACTGCATCCAGAGCTTGGTTGTTCTTTTTTTTTTTTTTTTTAAGATTTTCACAGTCACATCAGAAATGTGTTTGCTTGGGGTTTTGGGGCAGGAGAGCTGATGCTGCTGATATGCTCTGCCGGGGCAAGGAAGCTCTGGGAACACTTTGGAGTGTGGTTCCTGGGTTGTGCCCCTGCTCCCCTGCTCCTTCAGGGACACACTGGAAATGAGATGGAGGGTGAACACACCCTAAAGGCAGAGCTGTGCTCAGTGACTGCTCCACTGCCCACATCCCCGCTCCTGCCCAGAGAGGCAAATGCTCCCTCAACCTCCCCGAGGGAGGAGAGATGCCACAGTGCCACAGGCAGCCTCAGCTCTACTCACGCAGCACACACATGCTCCTGGGTAGGACTTGCTGAGCAAAGACTTCATCAGTTGGACCAAAATTCTGAATCAAAACCTCCCCAGCCTATACAGCCAGCACGTTGTTCCTCCCCACAAACACTCGGGGACACCCTCCAGCCTCTTGTTGCTGTTTTCAATAGCTTTTTCTGAGCATGAAGATTATTTCTTGCTGCAAAGACTTATTCCTTGTTTAGCAAAGGAGAAATGCAGATGTAATTGCAGATCCCAGACCATTGATTTCTCCTGTTCAGTAGCTGAGGAGAATTTTGGGCCTTCATCCTAGTGGTCTTCAGCTTGATTTAAGGTAGTGGGAGCTGTTTTGTGACTTGCAACGTGTGGGACACACCAAGCAGTGACTCAGTGGGCACTTTGGGATCTAATGCCTATGCCTTGATCGGGGTGAATATAAAGGACTTGTCTCATTAGACCCTGCAGCCCTGTGCTCCTTCTGGGGGTACACAAATAGAGCACATGCATACCCCAAATACTATCTTAACTCAGGGTCCATCCTCCTCAAATACACTTTGCATACAAAGAATATACATACAAATATTCTTGCATAAAAGAATATTGCATAAACACTTGTGAACCTCTCTTCTTCAGTATCTGTGTAGAATAAGAGTTAATTTTTTAACCATACTTCTATTCTAGCCAAACTCTATGATAGGTTTTGAGAATCCATCACCTGCACAAGAGGACTAGGAAGAGGTCACAGCAACCCTTAGGTTTGCCAGGTTAATGTTTTGTAACAACTGGTCCAGTGCTGCACTGCTTCATTATTCAAATTCTGCTGACAATCTATCTGATGTTTTGATCAGGTGTTGTTATTTAATTGTTAATCCCTGTTTGATTTAATACTGACACTGGTTTCATGACTGCAGGATTCACTCCTCATTTGCTCATTACCATGTCACAGTGCAGATCCATTTTAGTTTAGTTGTTTATTCATTAGCAAGAAACCTCCCAGAAAGAATACAGGACTTATTTTTTCTTTCAAAATCACAACCAGTCCCTAAGGCTAAAGACATATCAGATGAGCTCAGTTATTAAGGTATTTCCTTAATATCTACTTACATTTCATTCAACCAGTAGCTGACTAGGAATAACAATAGACTGATTTTACCTTCCTGATCACCATTGATGACTTACCAAGGCTTTTTTTTCTCAATTGTTACTTTCAGCTGAGGCCCAACATTTAATCCTTCAGTTCCAACAGCTTTTTAGGTTTCTCCAGATTTTAACTAACTTCCAAGGAGTATTTTTATGTGTTTGGGCACCTCAGTCTTCATTTCCCAGGGCATAGGGAAAGTCAGGGACTTAGCTGAGAGCTGGAACTCGCATCTTTCCTCCCTGCTGTACCTGCCCCATGGTGTCTCCTTGAACTGGGGCTTCCTGTTGTCCTCTTCATTGACAGCACACAGATTGGTGCAGTGTGCCAGGGATCCAGCTGATTGCAGGTTATGAAAAACGGTGAAATGTTGTAGGTAAGCTTTTTGTTGATTTCATGCCTTACAGATAGGTATTGATTTCCCATTTTGATACAGGCAAGTCAGATAGGTAATAAAACAGTGACATCTGCAATGGCTGTCCTTTTCTGCATGCAACATTACATCCTCTCACTGCCTTGATCAGCCTTGTTCATAAAGACTTTTAATTACCCTAGCAGTAATTAGGGCTCACTCTTATTGTGACCTTGTGAACTAGGCTGTCTCCTACTGCAGCTGCATAAATGTTTCCCAAGATACAAATTTCCTGCCCTTCACAAACATTGTTATGTGATTTTGGTGTGGACTCAGTAGATTTGAACAATTATTTTCAGTAGACCGGAACGTTAGTTCAGAATTCTGCTTTTCTTACATGTTGTAACATCAGTGAGATATAATAAACGTTGTTGCCTTTGAGTGTCTTGTCTTTCTAACCCACATCCAAGTTTTGCCCAGAAAGGTGTTTTGCCAAGTGACCTGCTTTGACTTCTGTGAGGAAAATCAGTGCTCTCCTGCAAGGACACACAAAAGGCAGCAGCACAAACAGGACCAGCTCTTGGGTAAGGGGGAGTGATTTTGGAGGCTGTCCAGACCTTTGCTGGTAGCTACAGACCTTGGACGCCAGTGCACACCTATAGTGATTCAAAGAAACCTTTGAACAATCTGAAAAGCACTTTTATTATGGCCGGGGAATGCGAAAGGGGCAGATGTTCTCCCCAGTGCACTCCACTGAGCAAAGGAACACCGTAGCTTTTTATACAGTTTGAAAGTAGCGAGTTTAAAATTATCTGTACACACACTCTTTTTGCAGTCTGCCTTATCTAAATAGACACTTAGCTTTACCTCCTATTCCTACCATTACAGAGTAGTTAAATAAAGTTTTATCATTTCAAACAGTTCCAGGTTCCCCACCCCTCTCTACATGCTAAAAAGCCTTCCCTGTTCCCTAAGCTATTTTTATCTTAATTGCCCACAGTTTGGGCAGAAACTTTTAAGCAGTTTTACATTTTGCAAAGTCACACTTACATAGCTAAATTAACATAGCTAAATTTTATTTCATTTTCATTTCTATTTCAATAGCAACGGCTCTTTGCAGCCACTGACTTTATTCCAGCTCAGATACATATACTTAAAGTAATTTTGTAAAGTTTTCACGAGAGAAAAGTAAAATTCCACCAAGAAAGTGAGGTTTTCTCGCTCAGCTGGGGCTGGACTCCCACAGTTTGCCCTTCTGCATCTGTTAAATATTGTGGGCAGGTGATTAATGACTGAAATACTCTGTTCAACCGCTGTTATAGGGAGCAGAGAACAATTTTCTTCCAGTAGCTTCTGGGTCCCTACTGTAAGATGCCTTTGAGCGAGGAAGAAATGAACCAGAATTGTGCCATCTAGTGACCTGAAGAGGGCGGGCATCTGTCCCCGGCCCCATCCTAATCCTCCCTGCGCATAAGTCTTTAACCCATAATGCAGAATCTTTAGATGACAATAAAAACCCCATAGATTAATGAGCATAACAATTATTTTCCCATCTTTCATGTCCAATCCTCCTGGCATTCCAGACTGATACACTGTTATGGCTCAGCTGGCTTTGGTTTTGCTCTATTTTGCCTGAGAGCCAGTTTATGACTTTATTATTCAGCTCTTAATGTGTAGAGGTGAAAGTCCAGCCATGTGCCTCACCATGTTCCCTTTGTCTTTTGCTTCCAGATGGTCACCAAGCAATTAGTGCCTCTGTACTGCTCCCATTTCCCCCTCACAAGGCTTGCTGACAACAAGCTCCTCCACAAATACATCTGCCTTCTACTGTTTTCTGCTTTTTTCGAAAGCCTTTTGCCATTTCTTCTCGAAGTCAGCAGGAAGTATAAGTCAGAGGGTGAGTGGCAGCCAGAGAGTTGCAGCAGAACAAGTGCTTTTCCAAAGTGGACTCTATTCTTCCTAATGTGATGAATTATAAGGGAATGGCTCATCTTTTCTCACAATTCTGGAAACATCAGCCAAACTGCATTAACTGCCCTCATTAAAGTCTGAGTGCTTACAAAAACATAAATTACCAGGCAAAATCTCTGCTTTTGTAAGAATGGGAATACAGGTCTGGAGAAACCTTGTCCATTCTGCTGGAGCATTTGTGGGTAAGGAGGCAAGCTGGGGGAAGTAGCTTTCATAGGCAGCAGTAGGTCAGTGGGGCCACCCCAAATACATTTGTAGAAGGAAGGAGCCAATCCTCTTCTCCATTTCAATGATCAAGCCAAGGACCAGGGCACTGCCCACTTACCCTTCTCTTGGGGCAGTCTCCTTTCCCACCCCAAGCCAGCAGCAAGGTCAGTTTGTGTTCCCCCACAGCAACCCTACACTTTTTTGCAGATGCCTCCTGGCCTTCAGCAGTTTTTGGAAGCTCCCGTGGCTTCCTGTCATGTTGCACAGGTACCACAGCACACAGGTTCTCCCATGCTGGGAACTCCAGATGGAGCCTGATTTTGTGACAGCCACTAGCTCACTTTACTACAAGCCACTTGTCACAATTTTGATGGGATAATTTGATTCCTTTTGTGAATAATTAAAGCACCGCAAACATGAAGCTGAACGCACTTGAATGCACACCAGCAGCAGGGAAACAAACCTGTTTCCACAAATGTTTCTGTGTGCTGAAAGCCTCGCTTGCCCTCTGTTGGGTGGCTGGGGAAGAATTTATGGCCTTGGGAATGACTGGTCCTGGCGAAGGAGGGATGCAGAGAGATGGAGGCATTGAAACCAGAGCAGTCCTTGCTTGTTAGCCTCTCTAGCCACCTGATTAGAAGGTGACATTCAATGAAATTAAAGGCAGCAATGTATTTAGAGCTAAGCAATGAATAAGCAGGAGGTGGTAATGTTTTATGCAGCACACAATGCAGACAACCTGTGGAGTTCACTGCCACGAAGGGGTCACTGAAGCAAGCGCAGTGTGTAGGTGGGAAGCAAGTGATGGCTGATTTAATGCCCACTAACAGGCTATGCAAGTTGAAGTGACAAACATAATCAAATCTCATGCTTTAGGGCATAAATTGAAGAGGTTGAGTAGTGGAAGCACTTATGTATATAAAAGGTCTGATCCTGAGAGGTGCTGATTACCTACAATTCATAGTAAGTTCAGCCAGGAAAAGGACACTCAGGATTTGCCTGACTTCTCCCCGGTTGAGTCTGTGCTTACTAATTTTCCTTATTAATAAATGTGGTAATATTTTAGCCTGCTGGCACAAACATTCATTTGGCTACAGCAACATTTATTTCCTTTCACACAAGAGTCAAACATTAAAGCTGCTTCTAAAATAAGATTTTAGAGAGATAATTTGCAGTGGTGCTGGCAAGGAATTTTCTCTCAAAATATGCTGTAATTCTTTATCTGGCAAATGTTCTTATATAGAATCAATATGAGAATATGTAAGTACTTCAAAACCCTTAGTGGATTTATATTCCCAGTTTTCTTTCTGAGCACGGGAAGTGGTACTAACCTTGCTCAACAGGTAGGGAGCTGCTCCATGAGCCAGGTTGTGGGCTTCCATTAATCTTTTGGGGTACTAATCCAAGATGGACCCAGCTGCCCAATTTGACCATGAGCTCATGGCTCCATGGACATGCAGTGCATGGTGTGACATCTACCTTTTGTAACAAGAGAGGTCTGACTGCAGCCCCCTCAGCCTTTGCCACTGAGAGACCAGAGGCAGAGAGGTCAGGTAGGCTGAATTCAGCCTTCAGTGACCTGCCCATGACAAACAAAAGGAAATCTTTGCTTTCATCTGGAATATGGCTAAGGGGGAAATTCGGCATCTTTCCTCAGTAATTTGAGAACTAGTTAGGCTAACACCTCCTAGGATTGACTTATGTAGCACTGATCCTGCTTGGGCATTAGGCAGTCTGAATGGCTTCTTAAAGTATTTTTCCATTCTGTCTGCAGTGATAACCTCAAAGAAAATGACATCCTTTATCCTAATAGATTTCTGTAGCTAAGTATTAAATACCTAAGCCCCTAATTCATGTCTGTGGGGAAATTCCACAAGTGTCCTGGGCCATTGAAAGCCTGCTGGTCTGCAGTGCTAGGGCAAGAGTAGCTGAGGACAGTCACAATGGAATTAAGAACGGCTCAGATGAGCAAATTCACTTTTTTTTCTGTGCTCTGTAACCAGCTCCTGCCACTGCTGCTACTCATAATCCCTGCTTCTTGTTTTCTCTTCCCTGACCATAAATTTGCTGCCTTTTGCACTAGACAAATCTGATATGCTGTGCTAAATATTTTAAATGTGGCAAACGATCCTTCATCATAGAGTGGCATGATTGCATTACAATGTATTAGAACAACATGACTTTGCCAGAGGGTGTTTCTTGGCACCACGCCGAGTGAAGGAGGCAGCCCAAGTTTGAGAAGTAACTAGCAAGTCATTTATCAACATTCGGTCCTAAAACACATGGGGCTACACCAGCTCTAGCAGCCTTAGAGAGATAAATCTGGAGGCTGAGACAGAAACTCCAAATACAGATAGGCTTTGAGGAAGCTTCTTAAAATCCAGAGCCATCAAAATGTCAAGCTGAGCTCCTGTGACAGATTCAACACATGCTTTTGGCATTTGTTCTGTTGTATTTAGTCTCCTCTTTTAGGTTCAGATGAAATATGTGCTGCTTTTCAGTCTTTTGGCCAGCCTGTGGTAAGGGCTGATTTGCTCTCACACTCCTGTAGCGTGATGGAAGACCTTTGAAGAGCCAAGTGGAATCACTGGAAGCCAACATGTGGTGTCTAGAGCTTATTTTCCTTCACAACATCCTCATAGGATGGAGGCAACTCAGTTCCCCCAAGGCTGAACTGTGGGGCAGAAGAGGAGGACATCTCTACAGTCATGCAGGGGCTCAGAGATCCAGAGAATGGGCACTGAGATGCTTCACTCGCTGGGGAAAAAGCAAAGTCACAACCATGCAGGAGACAGGTACGAAGAGCAAGTGTGGGGGTGAGAGAGGTGAGCCCGGGAGGAGCTGCCAAACCACTTGGAAACAAGAAAGGCATGGATGTAATTTTTGAAGCATGGCATCACAAAGCCTTTCACCACAAACTCCAGATACAAGAAGTCAGGACAGAGGCATATGGGCGGGTTTGGGGTGGGTCTTCCCTGTGAAGACATTGCCCATGACCACCCAGAAAGCAGGTAATACATTCAATACATTCTCTGGGAAGAGCTTAGGCTAATGACAGGACTAGATTAATTTTTCTTGGAGGAATGTTGTCTGGCCTAGCCTGATGGTGCTGCTGACCATATTCCAGGTCAGTTATGGGTGTTACACATAGTTATTATAGCCCAGTCCTTGGAAGGCTGGGTGCTCCTGTGGGAATGCTGAGGGTGGCTACCAAAACAAAACCCACCAAGACAAACTTTTGACGGATCTCAGGGTGTATCAACCAGTTAAGCTGCCTACTGGGGTGGCTCAAGTTAGACCAGTGAAGTCTTGCCTGAGTGAGAAATGCAGGACACATGCTGGAAAGGGCTGCTTGACCCCAGTGCCTGTGTCTGCATGTTGGGCCACTGAGCGCCCAGCACCGAGGAGAAAGTCCCACACACCTCCAGTGTGAGCCTGGCCAAGCACCTTTGGGACATAATGGACACACAGAGATGGCACCAAGTTGAACTGAATGTACGACTGGGGAAAAGTGGATGTGGCTTCAGCCCTCCAGCCCACGGTCTGAAGACGCCCCCAGGATGCCTGAACCGGGCACCTCACTGTTCACCAGAAACACAGCCCAGCTCCCACTCAAGCCTGGCTACCTCTTTCTGGGTTATGGATGGTCCACAGGAAGCCCACTACGGCTGGCAGGACCTTGCAGCAGGCAGAGACAGGACTAACCACAAAAGGTATCTGAGCTGCTGAGGGTGAAGACAGCCACGGTGCGTTGGCGGGACAGGCAGCTCCACTGTTTCAGCCAGCACTGCAGGCAGCAGCAGATCCCACAGGACAGGAGCAAGGCCAGGAAAAACAACATCAGGAACCTAAGGCAGAGGCAGCAGGGGAGGAACAGTGCCATTACCATCTGCAGACAGCACTGACAGATGGCTGCATGTCTTCAAATTAACATATTCATTAACATCTTTTGCAAATAGCCATTAAATGTTGCCGTTTCCCCACCAGCATACTGGACATGATCAAAGTCTCCAGAAACCAATGTCTCAGGCCTGAGTGCTCAGCGACAAGTGCTGGCTGGAAATTCAAATATTTCTCCCTGAAATCATCCATCGTTTTTTCCCAGCTCAGTTGTCAGCGTACAGTGAGGAGGATATGGATAAATGATTCCCATTAGTTTGTAAAGACAGAACACAGGGACAGCCCAGGAGCAATGCTCTCTAGCTATCAGTCTCTCTCAATGCCTTTCTCTCTGTATATCCATCAAAGAATATTATTTGTCAGTTTTTTCCCTCTAAAGCAGATCTGAAACTTACCACACATACCAGCTGCTAAAATTTTCATCGCTCTGTCCAATGCACCTAAAAAGGGAAAGATAAAAGGGACTTTCAGTCCAGGGTGAGGAGACTGTACCCACTCCAACACATCTACCAACACAAAGAAAAGCATCATCAGAAAGTAGAAGACTGAGAGTTTTCCTCCATGAAGGGAGCCCTATTAAAAGTTTCTCTATGTAGATGGGAGCAGATGCAGATGATGTACGAAGCAGAGTGCAACTGGTTTGCCTTTCAACACTGGCACCCACCACCAGCGTTTTTGCTGAAAACCCAACGGGTTGCCAATCTCCGTTTCCTCTTTGGGAAAAAACTCTAAATGGCCCTTTCCTGGAAGCGTTCATTCCTCTACTGTTTTGGTATGCCAGGCAGGAGCACAGCATCCCTGAAAGAGCCCAGGGTGGAGGCAGCCACGGGTGAGAGAATGAAGCCACACTCACCTCTCGCCAAGCTCACAGTCCAACTCAGAGTCTGCTAACTGAAAACACACATGTAAATCACAGAGGGCAGATATGTGTTGGTTTTTTTACAATTTACCAGTACAATCACTGTTCTTAGAGTGGGAAGTCCGAGAGGAAGAGCCATACAGGTGCTGGTCCTGCAGGGTTGAAAACCAGACCTCTCCCTAGGGACCATAAGGCTGAGCTCTTGCCTCTGTGGATCTCTACTCTGAGCCAGCTCATATCAAAACCAGCAGATAACTTCACCAAGAGCTCAATAAATTCAGTAGTTTGCAGATGAAAGCTAGGCCAAGGAGAAAGCATTCCTTTTGATGTGAAAGAGGGAAAGACAAGAGCAGGGAAACACCCACTGGAATCAGAGATCTGTTTGCTGAACTGGGCTTTGCTGTTCAGAAATGTCTGCTGAAAATGTCCCACGACCAAATTCTTGATCTGTGGCTCATTTTCCATCAGCTAATTGTGTGTGAATGCATCCATAAATAGGAGCTCTTTTGACCAGATATGTGCTGTACCAAGCATTTTCCTCTTTTCAGGTAGTGGTGGTGCATCATTCCCAGAGTCAAGTTTCAGGTATTGCAAATATGTGAACCTGAAACCTGTTTTTCAGGTATATTTTCTACTCTCTGCTTAAGGAAGTTTATTTTTGCAAGCCTTGTTGATCTTAGCCTCAGTTTCAGATCATCTGGGCAAAAAATAACCAAAGTGGTTCATCAGTATAATTAAATCAAATTCAATAGAGTTTTTGGCTGACTTGTGTTAGGTGTGTTATAATAGTTGCCCAATGTTATTACTAAAAATTCAGATCAGGTATAGAATTGCAATGACACTGGGAAGTAGAATGAACAAGACAGAAGAATTTAGATTTATTTATTTATTTATTGGGAAAAAGTGCTAGAATGTAATTTGTAAATCGTTAGTTTAGATTTCCCTCTGTGTATATCCAAAACATGTAGAGATTTCTGACTTTCTTTGAGTCCAACTAAAATGCTCTGTTCTGAATTATAAATTTGTATCAAATATGTATAATTGAGAGATCTCATTTTACATTTCTAAGTAACAGGACTTCTTTGGAGGCACTTTGTTATGCAAAGCTTGTGCCACTGTAAACAGCAAGAAATCCCCCCCCCAATCTCTATAATGTGTCTGATCCTGTGCACAAACCCCCTTTCACCAGAGATCTTGAGGTATAGTAAGTCTTTCATATAAAGTGCTATCTATGAAATTTAATGAGTGGCTGAAATACAAATGAGGAATAGAGAAAAAGACAGAAGCTTCAACTCTTCTAGACGTGTCCTTTTAAAACTGAGCTAATTTGCCATGTCACACATGCACCCTGGTGCAGGATATTTTAATTCTTTTTTTTTTTTGTGCTTCAACTGATTACTAAAATAACAGGTCAAAAGCAAATAGGTGGTTGCTGTGATTACATATACCCTGAGTATTCTTCATGGCTGAATGACATCCTTTGGACTCTCTTTTATCATCCTTCAAACTACCTCAGCAGAGCCACCTTAGCATAGTTAAACTGCAGCAAAGTGCATCTGCTCTGAGGCAGTAATCTGTCAGAGCAGCCAAACACCCAGCCGTGCTGCTGAAGCCCCAAGCTCTTCCATTTCAATAGCTGTAGACAGAATAAAGGATTAAGGCAGTCATGTTTTCTGTGCATTAATTGGAACTGTTGTGAGCATTAAATCTTCCCCACATTCATCAGGTCCTCAAAAAAAACCTTCACCAAAAAAAAAGTAAAAATGGCTGATGACTAAATTCCATAAAAGCTGAAATCTTCCCCCCAGAAAATCCCTAAAATCAGCCAGGTCCCAGTGAAGTGTTTGGTTACCTGCAAGAAGGTTAAACACAGAACTCCAGTTCCTATGATCCATGAAGTGAAACACAAAGCTCCAGGTCTCTGCATTACTAGTGCAAGAAACTTTAGAAGAGCTTTGTTTGCAGCAGTGTTTTACCCTCTGTAATTTGGTGCTTTTAAAACTTCTCTGCACATTGTGCCTTCAGCCAGAGAACACGTTACCCAATGGCTTCCTGCGCTTCAGAAATTACCGCTAGCCAGAGAGCTGGGTTTGCATGGACACAAACAGCTACTAGAAGTTAAAGGAACACTAGTTTAAGGTCAGCACCTTGCAGTTGTTTCGGTATTTTCATAGCTGTTCACAAATTCCTGCTGCTGAAGCTTAGTTCCATATTAACCCACGGCTGCATTTAACAGAACCTGCTACAAATAAAGAGTCACTGGAGTCCGTACCGTGAGGTCACGCTTTCATTTCATGCTGCCTTCAGCTGGAGTACTGCCATTACAGAAAAAGGGAAGCTACTTCCAACCATGTTCGATGCACTCTGCCTACCACCTCAAGTGTGCACCAAGGGTGAAGGAAAGCCTTCCTAGCCAGAGGTAACCACCACCAGCACCCTAACTCCATTATACAGCTTCTGGAGTTTGGTTTGCTGGGAAAATGCAGCCAAAAAACCCCCACATATACCCAGTGATTCTCACAAGGGACACAGCATTTCATTGTGCATTGTTCCTTTCATAAGGACTGATTAGATTCCTCTAGATACATCCAGGTGATGTGGTTAAACTGGGAAGATGGTTTGCACCAGAGCTCTGATCCTCTCAGAATGGACAATCCTGGTTTGTTCAGCAGTCAGTAATAGGTTGTCACAGGAGTTTACAGCCCGTGGCTGAAATGCACCATTAACTACAGTTCTTCCAGATTTAACACAAAGGGTGTTGCCATGAATATGTTTAATCCTCACTCCAGAGTTAAGCATTATGTTGTGATGCCATTACTTCCGTAATGATTGACAAAGCCGAGCTGCTCTTGAGATGTACCTCTGTGGCTTTGCTTCAGCTGAAAGGTCAAGAAGTCTAACCAACTGTGATATACGTACTCAACCAAGGTTTGTTATTTAATGTTTGGGTTTTGCATAAACCTAGGCCAAACCCCGGTGTTCTCAAATGTTTACTTTCAGCTCAGTACTAATGAAAGGTGAGCCTCTGAAACGATGCCCTCTGAGAAGGCATCTCTCATGATTTTGCTAAGTGCATATGCTATGCAATATAAGTGGTCTGAACATGCTGTCTTGCTTCAGACCAATCCTTTTCAGTGTTGTTCAACAGTAAATTGCCAAAACAATTTCTTAGCTGTTTTCTTAAAAGAAAAAGCTCCTGCAGTATAAAAATGTGCACATCCTTGCTGGAAACTGTGTGACTCTTACAATTTCAGGCTTCAAAGAGATCATCCATCATTGAACTAATTTCAGATTTCTTCCTCTCACAATTACTTCCCTAGCATCATCACCCAGGGTACTTTAGAGCCACCAAATGGATCATCCCCAGTATTTCGGGGGGCAGGTACCTCAATGAGCTCCTGGTACTGAAAAATATCACATAGCATCTGTTCTGGGTCTATTTCTAGAAAAAAAAAGGAAAGGATTGAATTCTGCCACTGCTCAGCATCCTGGCTTTGAGGCAAACTTTGATTTTTTCTGCTGGTTAGTCCCATACAGAGGTTTCAAGTTATGATGGCAATTTGTGAAGGCTGTCCCTGCATTTTCTGTAATGATGCCAAGAGGCAAGAGTTGGCTTAAAGGGGGTCCATGAATAGCCCTGTCTTTTGCTTCAAGCGTGATCCTGATATTGAAAAGAGCTGCTGCTTCAGCAGGAAAACTCTGCCTGTCCATGATCAGCTGAGCAGTTTGAATACATGAATATATAACATAAAGAGCCCCAGCACTTGCTCTAAGGCAGTCAGGACCAGACACCAAAAACCCAGAGCAGCTCTGCACTGAAACTCCCGGGGGGCTGTGACCCCTCCTACTGTGGCTCCACTGCCTTTGGGATTTTGTAAAACTGAGAGACCCACCTTCTGGGCAGCTCTGTGTCCAAGGGCTAGCTCCAATATGAGAAATTTTTTTCTAGACTTTTTTTCATGCCCCCCATGAGGAGATACACGCACACATACACGCCTGTTCCCTCCTCCTCTTCCTCCTGGATGAAAAGTTTGGTAACTCTTCCCTCCTCATTTATATCCACATCATCTATGGAGTTGTGAGGCTGCTCCCTGATAGATTTTAACTCGTGGCCATTAGATTAACATTCTGTTATTTCCTCATCACCTTATGTCGTTGCTAGGTGACAAATGCATCTCCCAGGCAGCAACAGGGACTACCGCAACATAGAGCAATTTATGACTGTCCATTATCTCTTTGCTTAATGTGCCCAGTCCTTTCAATGGGAGGAAGATGTGCAGTTCTAGGATCATCCAAAGGGTGACTTTTAGAGTTACCACAAAAACCACCTCCACTGGGGGGCTGGCTCTTGCTAGACTTCACAAAATTGAATGAGAGCTTGTGACACGGGAGGAATTTGGAGAAGCTGATTTACCTTGTCAAGTCTGCCAGGGTCAAGGTGGGAATCAGGGTCTGAATTTCAGGAACTGAGCTCCAACTTGTATTTATGTGCATTAGAAGAGATGGTCTTTAATTGCTTGAGTGTCGTACAATTAATTTCAGACATGCTTTTAGATTGAGACAAAGTTTCAGGGAACCTCTGGATTTTGGTGAGAGTGGGAGGCAATTTACTGGCAAACAGGAGTCCACACAGAGCCCCTGGCAGCCTGTAAGCACAGCTAGCAGTTTAAACCTGTTTAAAGTTCTTCCCTAGCTGCCTTCAGAGCATTTGGTGGCTGCTAGGGACGACTTTAGGGGAAAGCAACCACCTTGCTAAGCCCTGACCAGCCTTCCAGTACAGTCCAGAATGAGACTGTGAAAGACTTTTTCTGAAGGCAAACAAGGAGAGTGGCAGGAGGAGAGGTGGGACAGACACAGGGAAGGACATGGAACAGAATGGCGAACGTGCAGAGATGTGATGTGGAGGGGAGACAAGGTACAGGAGGGTGGCCCTGCTCTCTAAATTAAGGTCAACAGTCAAGAGTTAACTAAGCACGTTGGCTTTTTTATGCTGTTGTGTTTTCACATCACCACCACAATGAATTCTTCCTCCAGTTCAAGGCCACTGGGATCTCTCCCCTCCCTACTCAACTTTGCTGCCATGGCTGTCTCACCTGCATCCTTGACATCTATGCTGCCAGGCTGCCATCATCCCTTCTGGCCTGTCCTGGGAAGACTCAGGACGTGTAAACTCAGTTTAGCCAAAGAGAAAAGCAGGGTAACAGGGAGAACTGAGAACTAAGTGTTGCCTCTCTGCAACAGGAGAACTAAAGCAGCTTTGGTCTCATCCTCACTAAAGGAAAGCCACAAGGAGCTGCTCGCTCCCCATGCACACACACTGAGATGACTAAATCCAGCACTGGGGAGAGCTATTTAAGCTAATGGCCAATGCTGGCACAGGAATAAATGGAAGCAAACCAGCCATGAATAAATTGAGGCTGGAAATGCAAAGAAGGTTCACCCCATCCGGAGCAGTGAGGTTGAACAGCAGCTTGTCCGTGGGAAGAGTGTGGGCATGAAACCAAATGGCTCCTGGGATGCAAGTCATCGAGCTTCCGCAGGAGATGTAACCACTTCAGTGGGACTTGCTGACCCAGGGAGCCCTTTCCCACCTCATGGAACCACGGCCATCAGTTCTTAGACCCTCAGATCCCTCCACGTGCACAGGAGTTAGCCAACAGTACCCCAGGCTTGAGTGAGCGAGGAAGGATGAACACTTTAAAACAAGCCTTGGTAGAGCTGGCACAGCCTGTTGTCTTTCAGAAGGATTATAACCAGTTGCTGCTCGCCGATGAATACGGCCCTTTGTGAGCCTGTGCGGGGGACGTGCTGCACAGGAGGAAGGAAAGACTCGGGCACTGATTTAAATGAATGCAAACAAGGATGACATTGTTCAGCTGCATCCTCCCCAGGAGCGAGGCTTGGAGGCTTCAGAGGTCACCCCTCAGGTCTGATGCAACTACAGTTACCTTGTAGCTCTGGATAGTCCAGAGAGCCCTTTTGTTTGTTTTGGTGTATCAGTAGGGAAAATCCAGCAGAGAATGGGGTCAGTGAAGCCCTTTGCCTGGCAGAAAGTTTAACTTTCTGGAAAGCTAAAAAAGGAATCTCCTTTAGGTTAGTCATTTGTAAAAGAGATTTCTCCTATATGTGCATGCATATCCTCAACTGAGAAATACAGAAAACTCTTCAATGCATAGGTGTTCATACATTCATGGGAAGTCAAAACTTTAAAACTACCCAAAGTATAAAGTGCATTGATGTGTTAGAAATCGCTGTGAATTATCCAAATACTGCTGTTCCAACCCTATGATGAATGCTTGAAATAAATATTGTAACAACTGAAATATTAAGCTTATATAAAAGGATTTCGGCAGGAGCGTTCTTACTCTGGAATTCACAGCAACTTTGAGAAGTGCACGTTTCTAGCAAGCATGTTGTGTATGCTGATGACTGGTACTGACTCTGCTCTCATCATTAAATACAGAAATCAGTGTGCAGTGTTTTACTGACAGCTGTGTGTGGTGGGGCAGGGGAAAGCTGAAAAATTTAGGAAAGCAAGGATTCCACCCCCTCCCGTTTGATGTTTTTTTTAAAACTTAAGATGGATCCTAAAAAAATAAAGTCCCTAAATAACAGGATTTGGGCTAAGCCTACCAGTTGTTTAGTTTTATGGGAGAATTCAGATCTCAGAATTACATTTTAAGATCTGCTGCATCTGAGAAATAAATGGTAGTTGGACTTGTCTTATTTCTGGCTTGGACGCTAGGACATGAGATAATCCCCAGCTCTATCACATCCCAAATACCCATGAACTTCTGTGTATTACAGCCCACCTGAAAAAAGAGCTTAAGAAACCTTTCATCTCACAATCTCTCCATATACCACTAGACCTCCCACAGAGCTTGTCAGAAATCAGTTCAAAGGGCTGGATAACCCTCGAGACTTGAGGAACAGAAAAGTAGAACTAAGGATAAAGCCGATAAAATTAAAAGCAGCTT